ATTGAAGGGGTGCTGCTATGTAAATAGCTATTTATCTCAAGAAATTCAACTTTGAGAAATGAATATCTTTTTATTTTTTGTTTATTTATATTTGCTTATATTTCATTCAACTTTTAATTATTAAAATTATATATTCACAGATATTTATAAGAAATAATAGAGAAAGATTGCGATTGGTAGTTTGTGCGTTTTAAGGAATTGGTTCATTTCATTGAACTTGTCAAACTTATGGCTATAGAGTTATTCATAGTACTCCCTTATTATCATTTTGATGTCTGCAGGGCCTGCAGTGATCTCTCTTGTTTTATTCATCACATTTGTCATTTGCGTCTTTGTTCTTTTGGTTAGTCTTGCGAGAGTTTGTCAATTTTCTTGATCTTTAAAAAAGTCATCTCCTTTTGCATTTCTCTGATGATTAGTGACATTGAGCATCTTTCCATATGTCTATTGGCCATCTGTGTGTCCTCTCTGGAGAAATGTCTCTTTAGTTTCTTTGCTCATTTTAAATGGGATTGTATGTTTTCTTGGTGTTGAGTTGTATAAGCTCTTTATAAATTTTGGATATTAAGCCCTTATCAGATGTATCACTGGCAAATATGTTCTCCCATTCATTGGGTTGTCTTTTCATTTTGTTGGTAGTTTCTTTTGCTGGGCAAAAACTTTTTAGTTTGATGTAGTCCCATTTGTTTATTTTTTTCTTTAGTTTCAAGGATATACATTAAGAAAAAACTATTGCTATGAGAAGTGTCTGAGATTTTACTGCTTATGTTTTCTTTTAGGATTTTTATGGTTCTAAGAGTTACATTTAAGTTTTAATTCATTTTGAGTTTATTCTTGTGTATGTTATAAGTGTTAGTCTAGTTTCATTTTTTTTGCATATACCTGTCCAAGTATCCCAACACTATTTATTGAACAAACTATCTTTAGCCCATTGTATGTTCTTGTCTCCTTTGTCAAATAAAAGTGTGCATTCATTTCTGGGCTCTCTATTCTGTTCATTGATCTATATGCCTATTTTCATACCAGTATCATGAAGTTTTGATTACTGTGGTCTTGTGGTATAGTTTTATATCAGGTAGTGTGCTACCTCCATCTTTTTTTCCTCAAGATTGCTAGGCTATTCAGGGTCTTTTGTGGTTCCACATAAAGTTTTGGGATTTATTTGTAATTTTTGTTTTAGTTCTGTGAGATATACCATTAGTATTTTAATAGGAAATGTGTTGAATCAATAGATTTCTTTGGGTAACATGGACATTTTAATGACATTTATTCTTCCTACCCATGAACATGGTATATGCTTTCACTCATTTTGTTCCTACAGTACCTTATTATTTTGGGGGTACAGGCCTTTTATCTCATTGGTTAAATTTATTCCTAGGTACCTTATTTTTATTTTTTGATGAACTCATAAATGAGATTGTTTTCTTATTTTTCCTTTCTAATATTTCATTAACCATAATGATATATCACCCCACAGCTGCCAGAATGGTTTTCATCAAACAAGTGTTAGTGAAGATGTGGGGAAAAGCAAACTCTTTTGGATGTTGGCACAAATGCAGATGTGTGCAACCACTGTGGAAAACAGTATGGGGTTTCTACAAAATATTTTTAAATGGACTGCCTCCTGACCCAGTAATCCCACTTCTAAAAATATATCCTAAGAACTTTGAAACACCAATTCAAAAGAATATATACACCCTCATGTTCATAGCAGAGTTATTTGCAATAGCCAAGTGCTGGAAGTACCCCAAGTGCCAGTTCAGTAGATGAGAAAAGAGCTGTGGTGCATTTACACAGTGGAATACTATTCAACCATAAAATATTTCTTCTTGCTACAGCATGGCTGGTCCTGGAGATTATTATGCTAAGAGAAATAAGCCAGTCAGAGGAACGCAAGTACTGTATGATTTCACCTATATGTGGAATCTAATGAACAAAATAATTAACAAACAAAATAGAAATAAACTCATAGATACAAAGAACAGACTGATAGCTGTCAGAGGGGAGAAGGCTTGGGAGTGAGGTGAAATAGGTGAAGGAATTAAGCAAAAAAAAAAAATGCTCAAAGGCACTGTATGGTGATTACCAGAAGGAATGTGGGGATATGAGGAGGTAGAAGAAGGTAAAGGGGGGAATAAATGGCAATGGAAAGAGACTTGACCTTGGACGGTGAACATAGTATACAATATATAGTGATATATTATAAAATTATACACTTAAAACATACCATTTTATTAACCAATGTCACCCCAATAAATTCAACAAATTTTTTAAATCATCTTGTTACAATATGTTTCATATTTTTAATTTCATTGCTTTCTGCACTTTATTATTTTCTTCTTTCTGCTTGCTTTGAATTTATTTTACTATTTTTCTAGCTTTCTGAAGAGGGAGCCTAGATGACAGGCTTGAAACTTTTTCATATGTATATATGAAAATATATATAAATATATGTTTCTTATATATAAATATATATATTTACTGTAAAATTTTCTTTCAGCCCTGCTTTAACTGTGTTGCACAAATTTTGGTATGTTGCATTTCACTTTCATGCAGTTTAATGTATTTTTTAACTTTCCTTGAGACCTCCTCCCTCTTTGACTCATTGGTTACTTAGAATTGTGTTGTTTGGTTTCCAAATGTATGGAGACTTTCCTATCATCTTTCTTTTACAGATTCGTAGTTTGATTCCATGCAGTTGGAAAACACAATCAGTATAATTTAAATTATTTTAAATTTGTTGATATTTGTTTATGTCCCAGAAGATGGTCTCTCTTGGTCTATGTTCATGGGCATGTGCTGAGAATGAGTGTTCTGCTATTGTTGAATGGAATGTTCTATATGTGTTCATTAGGTCATTGTTGGTTAGATTATTGGATAATGAGATACTGTGTTTAAATTCTTCTATATTCTTGGTGATTTTTCTGTCCATCTGTTCTAGCAATTTTTGAAAGAGAGGTATTTGACTAGTTATGGATTTAAATAATTCTCCTATTTGTCTTAGTCTTTACCTCACATATTTTGAAGCTTTAGTGTATACACATTTAGGATTACTATGTCTTCTTGGTAGATTGACTCTTTTACCACACAGCATGGCGACTGTAGTTAACAATATTTTGTAACATAATTGAAAGTTGCTAAAAGAGTAAATAATAGTTCTCATTATAAGAAAAAATTTACATGATGATAGATGCTAACTAGACTTATATTTCAATATATCAGGGTGTGCAACCATTGAATCATTACATTGTACACTTAAAACCAATATGTTATATGTCAATTAAAAAGGGTAATTATTGCTAACATAAAATTGTCACATCTTTATTTATAGAATGGGTTTAATTCAATATGAATAGTCAACCAAATAAGCAATCATAATCATGTTGCAACTAAATAAACTTAATTTAATCCATATAATAAACATTTCCATTTTAAGCATTATAAACCATAAACAACTTTCTCAGTGGGTACAGCATGAATTATAAACTTCTTATCCAAACATTTTGAAATGCCCACTCCTTTCTTCTTTCTCATTCTATTACAGTCTTATATAAATTCTGAAAGTACTTAACCAGGTCATTTTTCATAGTTCCTCCATGACTGTAAGCAAGTTGTTCAGTTAGTCCAGAATGTCCCTTATATGTATGGAAATGTCAGGCTAGGTCATCTCCTCCATAAAGCCTTTCCTGGCCATTTATTCCTTTGTGAAATTGAGGCATTCCTTTTGCCCACTCTATATGCAACCTATAGCGACTTTCTGTCACAGGACCCAGAACTCAATTTATGCCCATATGTAATTATATGCTGAATTCCTTGAAGGCAGAGCTTGTAGTCCCATCTCTCCCTCTCCTTTTCTTTTTTTTTTTCTTTTTTCTTTTTTTATGTTCCAGAGCTAAGAGTTCCACAGAGTCCATAGCATTAAGTAGCTTAAGTTGGGTTTTGCTCTACATTATACAGCTACAGGTTGAGAAAAGGACTTACGTCCTCTCCCCCAAATTCTTTTTTTTAAACATAGTTGGCATACAATATATTATTTTCAGATGTACAACATAGGGATTTGACATTTTTATATCTTAACAATGTGCTCACCACACTAAGGCCTCTCCTAACTTCTCAAGAGGACACAGAAAACTCAGTGAGCCCTGAATCACTTTACCATTTGAGGCACTCAGATTTCTGAAAAATGAAGAAATAGAGTAACACAAGTATCTATTTGTTCAATGCAACCATTTAATTTATGTGACTATGTATTGACAATATGTCTAATTTTATTTGGAAATCATTGCAGAAATTTTAATTAGGAACTTTTCCCCCACAATCCTCTCTCCACCCCATGGCTTTGTTTGATTAACCCACCTCTTCAACTACATCCATCTGTGTCTCAAGTCAGTTTTTAACAGTCATAAGCTTCACAAAACACAATGTTAAAATAATGCTGGTCTTTGTAATAGGTTATGCCATCGGTGGTTGAACACTTGATTTCTGCTTGCCTCTTCCTAGAATTAGAGAAATAGAGTAAACATATAGTTAGTTACTCTGTATTTGCAGGGGGAAAAAGCTAAAATGAGTATTTTCTCTTACTTTGACAAAGTAACAATAATCTGAGTATCCCATTTCTGACTCTTAAGTTGAAGAACCAGTCTCATTATTTTAGTATTTTATTTATTAAAACATGACATATGCTTTACCAAAATTTAGTGTTAAAACAAATTTCAGTGTTATTATTGACCTGTTATAATATTCTTTTATAATTAGCAAGTATTTAAGCAAAGGTGCTCATCCAAAAGCAAAACTTTTGTTACTTGCATCTATTTTTCTATTACTTTAATAATTGGTTTTTAAGCAAACACTATATTTTGTATGAGTCTTCAAAATGGTAATAGCATTATTGAAGATAGCCAATATGTACTCCAGCTAATACTTCTTATTATATTTCACTAAGATGAATTTCTATGTGAATAATTGAACTAATACAAAATGTCTTTTTCATATGAAAACAGAATGACATGGACGAACTTGATGTTATTCTCACATCTGTATTCAAACAACAGATACCATATTATGAGTTGCAATCTCTCCAAACTGAAATGTACCCTCAAAAAGAATGTGAGTATTTTCCAACTGCATCAATTATTCTTTAATGTAATATTTCAATGTATGTGATTTGGTAGTAAGTTTTATAGCTAAGAATATAGTTTAATTTATGATTAGCTACTTTAGAAATTTCCCATATCTTTATAAGAAAGTACACTAATACAAACTTCTGAAGATCCATTTGGTAAATTCTTTTTTATCACAGGCCCTAAAAATGTGCATAATTTTTAAAAATCAGTAAACCCACTTCCTATATTTTTATTCTAAGGAAATGTTTAGAAAAAAACATTTATGATAAAAACTGTTCATCAACAATTATAACATTGTTTATAATTACCAAAATTCAATAAAGGAAGAGTATGCAGCAGTAAAGTACAATCATCTTTAAAAAAGCACATATATTTAATAGCATATATGTTTTTATCTATAAATTGTTGATATATACAGACATATACCTGTTAACTTTAGTTATGTTTGGGTTTGTGAAATTTCAGGGTTTACATTTTTTTTTTATTATTTATTTATTTATTTTTGTAGGTTGGTGGTCTAGTTTTTTTTTTTTTTCATATACCTGTCTATATCTCCCAACACCATTTATTGAAGAGGCTATTTTTGCTCCCTCAAGCCTTTCCCACTTTGGCTTTGTCCATGGGTCCTTTATACATTTTCCTTGACTTGACCCTTCCCTTCCCTTCCCTTTCCCCAACCCCTCCTTCCCTCTTGACTCTGTTGATTTACTTTTTCTTTCAATGTTGCTGGTTATATTTTCCTTGCTTGTTTGTTTTGGTGGTTAGGGTTCACTTATAGGTGATTTTTTAGATTTTACTTAATCTGTGTTTTCTACTCTGATTATGTATTATTTGATGAAAAAATATATATACAAGGTATAAGTATCAAGAAAAGTATATATAGGACCTATTACCAAAAAAAATGACACTTCTTATTGTTATCATGAGCTCAGTGGTATATTTTCAAAATTACTTCCCCATTGTTTATTGATATACTGTTTATAGTTCACTTATATGCCCACTATGTGCCAAAAACTGTAATAGGAATATAATGTTGAGTAAAATAGGAATGGAACAGAAGAATATGAAAAACCTACTGTAGGCATATTAAGGACTAATGAGCAGATTTTTTTTTCTGTAGAGTCTTTGTCTACTACAGGCATTTTTATTATCTGGCGAGTTCAAGGCAGCAGTAAGGAAAAAATGGGATTCCTAAAACACAGCAGACTGCTATTCATATGGGTGTGTAAGAACCTGTGTTATGTATGGTGAGGTTATATTTCCCTATAAATCAATTTAGTGAACTGGCAATGATATGCTTGTTTTAAATAAGTAATCTTGTGAGATTAGTGAAACTTACTTTCATTCCCATATATTTTAACAATATATAATTTACTTACAAAGTTTAGATATTTGTTTAGGATAGAAAAGAAATATGATTTCTCACTTAAAATGCAATTTAATTGGAGAAATGAGATTATATATAACAGAAAAAAATGTGCCAAACTTTGTGGAACTGATTATATCAACAATAGAATTTTAGAGAAAATATATCTTATTTTTCAAGACCACCTTCATTAAGAAGGTGGGATTTTACCTAAGTCTTAAATGGTGGGTATGATGTTAGTGAGGGAAAAGAAAGGCAATAAAAGATGCAGTTATGGCAGTTTTTTACAAATTCCCTCAGAATTTTATTTATTGAGGTTTGTAGAATGAGAATTGTATGGTTGGAGAGGTAGAGCATATTTAGTCTTTCATTTTTATAGGTAAAGAACTCGAACTAAATTTAAAAGTGCTTCTTAGTGTATTGTTTAGCTTATGGAGTAAGAATTTTAGAGCTGGAAATGATACATTATTTTGGTACCTTATTTATATAGGAAAATAATTCTGAATGGGTTAAATGAGAGCTCCCAAAACTATGGATCTGACTCAGTAGATATGGGGTACAGTTTAAGCTTGTGCTTTTCCAACAAGCTACCAGCTAAAGCTGATGCTAGTCCTCAGACTTCTTATTGAGCATCAGGATTTAGAGCAAAAGATTGTGGGTATGGTTCCTGATCAGGGCACATGCCTAGGTTGCAGGTTCGACCCCAGTTCAGTTGCTTACAGAGCAAGGGGATGCAACAGATGGATGTTTGTTTCTTACATTGGTGTTTTTTTTCCTCTCTCTCTCTCTTTCCTTTCCTCTCTCTCTCTCTAAAATGAGTAATAAAAAATTCCCTTGTGTGAGGATTGAAAAAATAATGAAAAAAATTAAGTATGCCATGTCTAAACCACACCTCATACCAATCAATGAAGAATCTGAGGGAGTGGGTCCCAACTCTCAGTAGTTTTCAAAGCTTCCCCAGTGATTTTAACTGTTGTGGAAGTTGACCAGTTTCTAGTTGCTTCAATGTATTACAGACTAGCCAAACAGTTCATACTGACCTTTGACATAGAGAAAATATTACTTTATATAAAGGTTATAAAGATGGTAGCTTATAAAAGTTTTGAATCATTACCAGAATTGAATGATTAGTCTGTACTTGACAAAAATTTTTATTAAAAAAATTGTATTTTGTAACAGATGCTAAAAATGGGAAGTTCAATGTAATCTAAGTAATTTATTCAGAAACTTATTTGGGTATTTCTAGATGACAGTTGCTCTTAAATTTGTAACAGAAGCAAGAAACCCTCATAACATTAAGCTCCAAATCCTAGTTGAAGTACAAAATAACATGATACAAATTACATAATAAAAATATGCAAGGTAGAAATGAATATGACTGAACTCATGTTTTGCTGGCCTTCTTGATCCAATTTCATCTTCAGATTATTTGGTCTTTAAGACTTTGCACCTGCATTTTCATAATTTTCAAGGTGAATCTATGATAAGGGTTAAGATGCCCTTTTACATGAAGTTCAATTAATTACAGGAGAAAGCTTAGGAAAACAATGGTAAGTTGCTGAGGAATTTCTATAGAAATACCACCAGAGGTATTTTGAGAGATAAATTCAACAAATATTGATCAGGTGTAATTCCAGATGTCTATACATGAGGACAGTTCTTCAATTATTTGGTAAAATGTTCTATTTGTTAATCATTTATTATTCATTACTCCATATTTTCACTGAAATAAATTGGAGGCTTGGAGACTGTGAAGGGATGGTAGTCATGGGAATTGATAGAGTGAACCTTGAGCATTGATCTACCCTGAGGATGAGCCATGCCATTACACACAGATACACATGGTTCTTGAAAAGTTTGAAAATAAATGCTATGAGAATCAAACCTGTTTATCTTATTGTTGCCCATCTTCTTTTCTTTTCCAAGTTGTTTTTGGTAAGTTCTGAGTTTATTTCCTTGTTATGTCAATAATAATATGTAAAATGCTATTCCATGCCATTACGTCTTGGTCATTTCCATTGCTGTCTAGCCAACAAACTTCCTCATTTGACTTTTTCCACCCTAGGTAGGCAAATGTGGAAGAGTGTGAGGGTGGGGTAGTTGCAGAGATAAGATAGAAATATTCTCTTCCCTTGTAATGCTTCTTTGTTGACTTTAAAATAACATTTTCCATTGATCAGAATTTCCGATAGACCAAAGTTCTCCCTGGGAGAATAATAAAACGTTTTCAGATAGACTTGGTATAGTAATGTAATGTAGGCTGTTTGAATGAAACAGTCATAGAAATAATTCACAGACAACTTTCTAGTGTATGAATCATCAGGAGCTGTGAAATTTATATAAGGGATTGTAACAGGCAAACTTTTTTACTGATATATAAGATACTAGAATAAAAAAATATCTGAATACATTCCTTAAAGTAAGAGTGAGTATCATTTTGAGCAACTTCCATTTTGGTTGTAGATTTACATATAAACCCACATGATATGGGTCACCATGAAATCAGTTTGAATGTCTCTGACTTGGTATGGCAGTGAGGCAGAACAGCACACATGGTCAAGCACAGCTTGTTTAGCCCCTCTGTAGCTCTCCCATATTCTGTGTTTCAAGCCATCTTATGTAGTCTCTTCTTAGGGCAGAAGGTACATGAATCTCCCTAACTTCTCTTCGAAAGCCTTCCAAAGGCTGGGTAATGCAGAGAACCTCCTGTCATGCCGAGGAAAAATAAATAAAATAGCTCCATTTTTTTCCTTATTTTTATTGTTTACAATATTGCAGATGTCCCCAATCCCCACCCCCTTCGCCTGCTTTCACCGGCCCCTGCTCTTCCTTCCCTCTGGCCATCACCACACTGTTGCCTGTGTCTGAGATATACATATATGTTTTTTTAAATGGCTACAGTTGCTGGTTCAAATACTGTAAGTAGCAGTTAGTTTAGAAAAGAGGAAACTAGGTTACTTTGAGGCAATTTTTTTACCTTCAGCCAGAAAGGAGAACAGCCTTAGAAAAGCCCACACCGATATCTAGAAAAATCTGTCAAAACATACATCAATTAAATAGCAATATCTTAATCAGAAAGAGAGCAGCAGTCTAATGACATGTGAATGTATTAACTCAGACTATTATCTTCTAATATGTCTATGAAATGTGGAACATGTAACTGGATATTCAATATGTGCACAATAGTAACTATAGACCTATAGGCCCTATAGGCCTCAGATTTATCTTGAATTTGTAGGATCTTTATGTTCACAGAAAATAGCTCACTTGCTATCTGAGGAGAATGAAATGTCATTGGGTTGTCTCCTTTCATATCATCAAATGATGTAATCATGCAGAAAAATACAGAACAATATGAAAAACACTCTTTTACCCATAACTTACCTTTGCTGTATCATGACATTTTGTCCTGATTTGCTTCAGAACTTTTTTTAAAGAAATAAAACATTACAGGTCTCATTCAATTTCTCTGTTTCCCTCTGTGATTCCACAAATCTGAAAAGTAACCAGTACTTTAAATTTCTTACAATGAGCATTCTTGTATATGAATGCCTATGTATATGTGTAATAATTTCTCAGTAGAAATAATTACCAATAGAATTTCTGAGTTAAACAGG